GGAGGCTGAGGCAAGATAATCACTTGAGCCTAAGAGTTTGAGGTTGCTGTGAGCTGTGACACTCTGCCTAGGGTGACAGAGAGAGAGAGACTCTGTCTCAAAACAAACAAACAAGAAAAACTGCAAAACAACAAAACCTGGTCACTTCTGCTATGCTCAATCTATCATGTTAGTTTTATATTTGAAATCTTCAAAACTGAGTATGTTTTGAGCATGTTCTCTCTTAGACACGGGATTGAAGCAATGGGGACACATGGTCAGCAGTTGAGACTTAGGGGGGAAGGAAGGAGGGCATATAGGATAAAAAATTACCTGTTTGGTCTATTGTACAGTACATCAAGTAACAGGTACATTAGAAGCCTCAACTTCACTACGCACTTCAGCCATGTAACAAAAGACCACTTGTATTTAAAATCTATTTTAATTTTTTAAAAGCATAGATAATATTGCAACGCCTATTGCATAGGTTAAGAAATTAAGCAGTATAGACATGAAAAATAAAAATAAAGATAAAATAAAATAGTGATCTTTGGTGTTGGCATCCATTCAGGAGAGAAAAATATACATTATTTCCTAAAATGTCAAAAAATAAATTGGTGAGAATTGCTTTGCCATTTCAAAAATTTTCTCAGGTTTTTCTTTGGAGACAGAGTTTCACTCTATTGCCCAGACTACAGGACAGTGGCATCATTGTAGCTCATCACAACCTCAAACACTTAAGTTCAAATGATCCTCCTGCCTCAGCCTCCCGAGTAACTAGAACTACAGGTACTCACCATGACATCTGGCTAATTTTTCTATTTTTAGTAGAGATGGGGTTTTGCTCTTGCTCAGGCTGGTCTCGAACTCCTAAGCTCAAGCAATCCATCCACCTCAGCCTCCCAGAGTGCTAGGATTATAGGGATGAGCCTCCACACCCAGCCAATTTTCTTAGTTTTTCAATTTCATGTGACTTATACTAAACATTGATGAAGATTAATGACATCTATCTAAGGGGTATGCATGTGTGAGTATGACTTTTTTTGTAGCTCTCCAGAAATAATACATAATATAATATGAAGAGAAAAGTGAGTATTCACAGAGGGAATGTGCCAAAGATGCATTTCTCAGGCATCTTTAGAAAATCATCCAGGCTTGTAAACGTCCCACAGATTAATTGTGTGCATGTCAGAACAGATGTGTGAACGGAGCCACAGTGACACCTTTCAAACCATGAGCACTGGTGTCTCTAAGATCCTGAGGTATTGCAGATGGCAGGCTCATAAATCTACTTTTGCCGTTCTCCACCTAAAACACACATTAAATATATCCGTGTCAAATGCTAAATTGTTATAGATTCTCATTCCCACCTGTTCCCCTTGCTTGCCGTGCTAACTAGACACAGTGTGGGAGTAGAAAGAAAAAGCGAAAGATGAAAGTAGCTTGCTTCACGCATGACCTTAAGAGAGAATCTTCTATCTGTCTGGGAGACTGCAAGGAGGCTTAACGAGTTTGGGGTTGATGATATTTAAACCGAATCTTTTTTACAGCTGGGTAAAGAACAGTGAGATAGATAAATTTCACAGAAGTAAAATTATCGCCATAATAAAATTTTCCAAGTGATAGATCTTAGTTTTTAATGATTATACAGTATTATGGAAGTATTCTATATATAACCAATCCCCTATTGATACAAAAATTGTTTTCCAATTTTTTTTTTTTTTTTTTTGCAGTTTTTTTGGCCGGGGCTGGGTTTGAACCCGCCACCTCCGGTATATGGGGCCAGCGCCGTACTTGAGCTACAGGGGCCGCCCAGTTGTTTTCAGTTTTATGCTATTCATAATTTCACAGTGGATATGCTTTTCACATTTGTACAAATATATCATCAAAATATATTCATTAAAGTAGAACTTCTGAAGGCAAAGGTTATTCACATTTAAAGTACTATACATATTGTCAAACCAAGCTTTGTCTG